TCTACTAAAAATAGAAAGAAATTAGCTGGACAACTAAAAATATATAGAAAAAATTAGCCAGGCATGGTGGCGCACGCCTGTAGTCCCAGTTATTCGGGAGGTTGAGGCGGAAGGATCGCTTGAGCCCAGGAGTTTGAGGTTGCTGTGAGCTGGGCTGACGCCACGGCACTCTAGCCCAGGCAAAAGAGTGAGACTCTGTCTCAAAAAAAAAAAAACAAAAACCATTATTACTACTTTCCAGAATCCAAATACGTCAAAACAACCCAATAAGTGAGCAGCTATTTTGCTAAGAATTGGAGCTAAAATATTAACTAACACATGTTTCAAATCTGACCAATATGCAACCCAAGGAGACACAATAATTTCAAAGTCTTCCCTTTTAACATTCTCATATAATTGTGAGCAATTCTGTATCCCCCTGTACAAGGAAGCAACTATTTTCCTGCTCAGATATTACAACAATTTTGGTAACCCAAATGACACAGGGACCAGTCACCCAAGTGCTCTGTGGAAGCTTAATGGGGCTTCTATTGGAAAAGAGGGCAATCCAATACAGCACTAACCGTGAAGGGAGAAATGTTAAAGCGGATCAAGAGAAATATACTACCCATCTGACGATGGCAGAGAGAGCAAAACAAAAAGCCAACCTCAAAACACAGATGGACCAGCAAAATGGGCAGAATTCTCCTATGACTTCTACTTCAGTCTGGACAAATTTAAACTCATAAAGAAATTACAGTAAAAAGCTATTTGTGAAAACATCAGCAGCTACAGGAAATAACAAGTACTCACGTCATTTAGCAAACATTGATTGAGCACGTCTAAGTTGTATAAGGTCCCCGCTCAATAAACAATAAAAAACAAAATATTTAGGCATTGAATGTCAAAAATAATTTTTATAGAAACAGAAAGCCATCCAAATTAGAGAAAGGGCTACAAACTCTTCTTATTCCTTTTCTTCTTGCTGACTTGCTATGTGAATCATGTAATATCTGCCACATTTCTTCATCTTTAAAATATAACGGTCTTCTTCAACTACTGTTGACAGAAACAGTCAACGAAACTATTACTTTTCTATGTGCTACTTAAAAGGCCTTTATTTGTGAAAAACTACATGGAAAGTCTTTTCAACAGACCAAAAACATCCCATCTTTCAAGTCTAGGACCTATTTCTTGGTCCTCACACTGAAGTCTTATGACTAAGTCTCCTACTACAACGCCAGCAGACTTTTTATCCCTGCCCTGCACCAATCTCTCCTTTCATTTACAGCTTTTGAGACAGAGTACTAAGATATTTCTCTAAATGTAACCTTTCCAAAGACCTTTGTCACAACCTACCAACACTTGGGATAATGTATCTGGATCTAATATCAATTGAGCAAGGGAATGAATTATTTACCCTATGTCCTTGGGTGTGACATACTATTAAATACAACAAACCTAATGTGGCTAATTATTATAAAAACAACTGTTTAATCAGTACAGTGTTACCTATTAGAACGGTGGACAAACAAATTGGTTCACATGCTAATTCAGGAAATGGGGCAGACCACACAGGGTCAAAGGACTATATCTTTCCTCTGTCCAACACAGACATTACTATGGTTCTTGTCTTTTTGGTTCTACTTTAATCCTTATATGCAAAAATCTGGCCTCAGATTTGCAATGGACAATTTTAGCTTTATATTCATCTCACTTAGGCAGCCACCTCAAATAGCTAGAATCCCAGTTCAGAATAAGAAACAAAAATATCTTCAAGAGTAATCAAAGAAATACAGTAAGAATATACTTCCATAGAGAAGTTTTACAGTGTTTGAGAAAGGTTTATAAAACATAAGTTCCTCAAGCCCTGAATCAAAAACTACTTATTTTCATTTTAAACATAGTTACAATCATTTTGGTCTGATTTCTCAGACCAACAGAATTTTAAGAAGTGAAAAACAATGGTAGAGGCAGACTCTGAGATGTGTCACCTGAAATTCCTGGTAGAAAAGGAAAGGAAAAAAACAAAAAAGTATACTAGGGCTTAAAATAGCATACAATAACATAATGATAATCATAATGATGATGAGAGTTAGGAAAAGGTAAAAGTATGTTTAAAATGCCATTTTTAAGTTTTTCACTTTTTAGAAATATGACTTTTTAAAAAAATTTTTAAGCATATTTATTTACAAAACTTTTGTCATAATTAAAATGAAAAATAGTGTTAATCTGAAAAGAGTAAGCTACCCCTAGTATCTAGAAAGCTTACTTT